GGGAGGCTCTGCAGAGAGACCTGGACAGGCTGGAGCGATGGGCTGAGGCCAACTGGAGGAGTTTCAATAAGGCCAAATGCCGGGGGCTGCACTTTGGCCACAACAACCCCCAATTCCATCATCCTCTCTGCAGCCTCTTTGCAAAGGAGAACCTGAACCGCATGAGCGAGCAGCAGCTGAACCTCTATGACCGGCTCATCAATGAGCCCAGCAATGACTGGGACATTTATTACTGGGCCACAGGTACGGCGTGACTGCCTGTTGCTCTGCCTGCTCCCAAGATGTGCTGTCACTCGGGGCTGTGGGCACTGGGTTTGGGGGGGGTGGGTGGTACTTTGGGACAGGCCGAAGCAGTTCTCTTGCAGATGACATCTAGTTGGGTGGGAGTGTTGATCTGCTCGAGGGCAGGGAGGCTCTGCAGAGAGACCTGGACAGGCTGGAGCGATGGGCTGAGGCCAACTGGAGGAGTTTCAATAAGGCCAAATGCCGGGGGCTGCACTTTGGCCACAACAACCCCCAGCAGGGCTACAGGCTTGGGGAGGAGTGGCTGGAGAGCTGCCAGTCAGAGAGGGACCTGGGTGGGGGGGGTGATTGCCAGCTGGCTGAACAGGAGCCAGCAGTGTGCCCAGGTGGCCAAGGTGGCGAGTAGTATCCTGGCTTATATCAGCAATAGCGTGGCCAGCAGGGACAGGGAAGGGATCTTACCCCTGGGCTTGGCACTGGTGATGCCGCACCTTGATGACTGGGTTCAGTTTTGGGCCCCTCACCCCAAAAAGGCCATTGAATGACTCGAGCGTGTCCAGATAAGGGCAGCGGAGCTGGTGCAGGGTCTGGAGCACAGGTCTGCTGGGGAGCAGCTGAGCGAACTGGGGGGGGTTTAGTCTGGAGAAGAGGAGGCTGAGGGGAGACCTCCTGGCCCTCTACAGCTCCCTGACAGGAGGGTGCAGAGAGCAGGGATGAGTCTCTTGAACCAAGGAACAAGCACCAGGACAAGAGGGAATGGCCTCAAGCTGCCCAGGGCAGGGTCAGGCTGGCTCTGAGGAAGGATTTCTTTGCAGAAGGGGCTGTTGGGTGTTGGAATGGGCTGCCCAGGGCAGGGGGGGAGTCCCCATCCCTGGAGGGGTTTAAGAATTGGGTTGACTGACCACTGAGGGATCTGGTGGAGTTGGGAACGGTTGGGGTGAGGTTCATGGTTGGACTGGAGGATCTTCAAGGGCTTTTCCAACCCAGATGATTCTGTGACTCTTGTTGCTCTTTCCTGGTTTTCCCACAGAAGCAAAGCCCACACCAGCTGAGTTTGAGAACGACGTGATGACCATGCTGAAGGAGTTTGCCAAGAACAAGAAGAGGGAGCAGCGGCTACGTCAGCCGGACCTGGAGTATCTCTTTGAGCCACCCCACTGACAGGTTGGAGGGGGGCTGCCTTCTCTGTCCCCATCCCCTGGAGCAGAGGAGGGGTGCGGGGCCCTGTGGAAACACTGATGCTGCTGCCTTCCTCACGGCTCTCCTCTTCCTCCAGCAGCAGCTCCCTTGGGCTCAGGGCACGCTAAATAAAGCTGTGGCTGCTAGCTCTGCTGCCTCCCTCCTGCTGCGCTGTGGGAGCAGGGCTCTGCTTGGGGCCTGGGGCAGGTAGGTGGCAGCGACAATCTGAGCTCTCTCAGGGACATGCCAGCTCGCTGCTGTCTCCAGCTCTGACCTGTCCTTTGAAACCCTTTTTTCGGGGGACCCAGGGGAGGTGACCCCACACCCAGAGGGCACAGGAGGTTGGAGTGGGGCATCCTGCTCCCCAATAGCCTCTGTGGGGTGTCCCAGCACTCCCCAAGCAGTGCGATAGTCTCTAAGGTCCCTACGTGTCACCACGCCGGTGACCAGGAGATGGCGTTACTATCCCAACATCCCAACTTCCGTGGGGACATTCCACAGCACACTTCCCCCCACGGTGTCTGTCCCTGTGCCGAGCTGCGGGCCTTGGCGCAGGACTCGCCTGCCGCGGAGCTGGGCGCTGTCTCCCCTCGGTGAAGGCACGCGCCGACCTCATGAACTTTTATGCCACAACCTACATGGTGGCACATGGTAGGGGGTTCTGAAGGCCTCCTCAAAAATTGGGGGGGAGCTTTATTCTTCGGGGCTGAGCCTCTTCTCACTGTCACCCAGGCCAGCTGCGTTTGCGTCCCCACTTTGGCTACCGCACCAAGAGCGGCTACGTGTCCAACAACCACCCGACCATCTCCTGCCTGCTCCGCCCGTGTAGCGCAGCCCAGGGGTAGGTACCCCTGCTGTGGGGGGGACACAGGGGCAAGTTTTGGGGTCACTGTCACAGGCCTACTGGCCTCCTGCTGCAGCCACTTCCAGGACACTGCCACCTCCACCACCGCTGAGCACTTGAAGCCCTTCTGGCTCCCAGATGGCCGGAACCTGCTGCCCTAACACATCCAGCAGTCGGGGAGCGGGTACCCCCATGGGTCCTCCCTTCCTTTCCTCTGCACCGGGGCAGTGAGTCCCCAGCACGCGTGGCTCCCCCAGGGCTCCCCCAAAGCATCCAGGCAGCACAGCACATGGAGCTGCCACACCAGTCCTGCCCAGCCAGGTGTGGTTTTGGGGGTGGTCCCAGGACCAGTTTCAGCCCCAGGAGATTTTGTGGTGTCGGTTGTCCCAGGGCCAGCTCCAAGCCCAGGAGGTTTAGGAGATGTTGGAGGCCCCCTGCCCTGCATCACCCCTCCCTGCCAACCCCCAAACACAGGGGTCAGGCAGGGCCCCCAGGCTGTGTCCAGCCAGTAATGCCATGGCTGGCTGTGGGGCTGAGAAAAGGGGGGCTCCCCCCTGCCCTGCCTGCTCCCCAGAGATGTCCCTCAGAAGATGACTATCGGCACCAAGGAGCAGTCGGGTTTCACCAGAGCCACCCTGAGGAGTGACCGTGTCCTGCCAGCCCAGCCTGTGAGCCCCCTCACCACCGCGTCCGGGTCCCCTTCCCCCGCCAGCCCCCCACCCCTTCTGCACCTCGAGAGACACTTTTTCTCTCCTGCACCTCAGCCTTAGCATCACCATGACAGATTTCCTGCCCTCTGCGTGCAGCCATGTAAGCATGGCGAGGGGAGGGGGTGGCAAGCCCCCAGCAGGCAGGGCTGGTGGTGCAGGCAGGGGGACATGTGTGTCCCAGTCACCATCTCTCCTCCATCCGGGCAGTGAGACGCTCCCAGCGGGCTCTGAGTGAGGCAGTGAGTTCAGCCGGGAGGCGTGGACGGGCCTGGGCACGGCGGTGAGCAGGATCCCACCCCACTGCCTGTCTCCATGTGCCCTCCCCGCCTCACCCGTTGTCCCCACACAGACCTTGCCTGCCGTTGGCCACTCCGTTGTACTCCTCTCCCGAGGGGTGCAGGCACCCCGAGTGACCCAGGCTGGCCTGCGGGGTTAGGAAGGTGGGTGTAGCCATGGCCCTGGCCCTGGCCCCGCAAGACCATGCACCCAACCACTCTCTATCCCCCAGGAGCTGTCAAGGTTCACCAAAAACCATGGCCAGTATGTGACCCCCCCGCCTGACCCTGTCCCCTGCAGCACCAGGTGAGTTTGGGGTGACTCTGGATGTTCATGGGGGTCTCCAGCCTTACTATCCCAGCTCTCCTGGATTTTCCAGCTAGGTGTAACCTGGATGGCCAAAAATGGGGGTATCCAGCCCCAGTGCCCCAGCAGTTTCAGCACCAACAACTGCCCCACGGGTCTGGGGGACATCGTTGGCCACCACCTGGTGTAGCCCCTCTTCCCCTGCACCCCAGGCGTCCCAGCCTCACCTTCTTTGGGGACCCCCCCAATCCCTGAGAGCACATGGAGAAATAAAACCCCAAAACAGTCTTCCTGGGCACAGTGTCATTGTCACCCCTGTCCTTCCGAGACCCCGTGGCAGGACTGCGACTGCGCCCAGCCCTCATTTTAGAGGCTGCCTGCACCCCAAAGGCTGACAGGAGGATTGTAGGGGGGGTGGGGGTGGTGTTGGGGGGTGCCACCTGGCCTGCAGCCGCTGGAGGGCTGTACGAGCCCGGTTTTCCGTGCCGGCTTTGGGATGACACAGCTGATTTGCGGCAGACAGGACTGGTTGGGGTGGGCAGCGGGAGGAGGAGGAGGAAGAGCCCCAACTTGTCCTGCAGAGTGGGCAGCCATGGCATGGGGGGTGTCGGGGTGTCTTCATCCATCCCCTCCCTGGCCGTGGGGCGTGCAACCAGGCTCCGGGGAGGTTGGGGGGGAAAGGGCAGCGGGGAGCGGTGGCTGTGCCGGGGAGGGGGCCCTGCAGCACCTCCCTGGGGTTCCCAGGGGACGCAGGCGATGGCGGAGGGGGACACCCACACCCCCCCGCGCATCGCCCGGGGACATGCTGAGCCCCGGCTGCCGGCGCGGGGCGTGGCCTGGCAGGAGGGGGGCGTGGTCGTGAAACGAGAGGCGTGGCCAGAGGGGGCGTGGCACTCCCACCGGCC